CATTTTACAAAATGACATTAGATGTCTTATGGAGACTTCCTATGTGAGATCTGAAAAGCGAACAAACAACCCAACACAACCAAAAGCTTACCCTGTAAAAGAGGACGGCTGTAAATACTGAACCTGGCCATCACCAAGCGTGCCCATCCCTGCCATCTCCTAGTGGCATTTTCTGCCTTGACCAAAGGAAGGCCTCCATGCTGCACACTGCCTCCCCAGCCCCGAGGCCAAACCCAGTGCTGCGACATCGCTGTGGGTCTGGGGAAGGGACATGGAACCAAGGAGCAGCAGAGAGGTTCTGGGGGAAGTCATAGGAGACAGGAGCACAGGGCTGAAGGACCAAACCCAGCCCTCAGCCCGGCCTCCCTGGATGCACCACGGCTGCAGAACCGGGTGCACCCAGCAGGACTCAGCAGTGTGCAGTGGGTGCCCACAGCACAGAGCAATCACAGAGCTCCCAGCCACAGCTTCAGGCTGCTTTCCAGCTCCTTTCCCAGAGCTGCATCTCCAAAGCCTATTTCCATGAAAATGTATCTTCAGACTAACAAACAGCATCAGCAGTTTCAAGTTCCATGTCACAAAGTAATTCCCTAAGCCAGAAGTGTCATTAGCTTGTCAGCTGTTAAATAGGCAGCTTGGCTCTGATGGCTTTTAACCAAGCTAATCTCAGCCTGAAAGCTTCAGGAATCCAAATAACTCTCATTTCACAGAAGTTTCATTTCATCCTCATGCTGAAAATAATATACATAAACCAAGTTCATGTCTACACATTTGCACGACTTTATAATAAAAGTTGTGTTTATATTCTTAACATCTGTTGACATATACAGACTTTGTAAACCTGGCATCCATTTTAAAGCCACAGAACTTTCCATGCATCACGAACATTATCTGTGAGAGGCAGTAAAAGAGGCAACGAATCCATTAATCAAACCAATATCATCTGCAAAACGTAAATCTGGAGCACCGCTCATGTCAGCCCCGCTGCCTACAAACACACCTGACTCTGTGCCATCTGCAGAAGAGCAAAGGTGAGTTTGCTGTGGAAATGGCACTTCTCAGTGCCCTGACTTCTACACTGTCAGTACTGCAAACAGTGTTAACTGAAATAGAAGATTTTGTATCTAAAAGTTCTTTATCTTCACTGCAGGATGACTCTCCCAAGCACAAGGCGGGTCCATAGCTTCAGTTTTGTCCTTTGTTCCCTAAGTCATAACAAACACAGCATTTATTTGTAGCTATCAGAAATACAAGCACCAAGAAGCAGAGGTGCACCAGGTTGTTTTGTTGCATTACAGCCAATGCTTCCCCTGCAAGAGCAGGGCACACCGTGCCTCGCCGGTAACACAGACATCCTCTGCACTCACGTGGGATATTTCACCCACCTTGCAGGACCTGCAGGGGACCTCGTGGCCCCAGACGTTCATGTCAGCCCTCTCCCATGGACCCTCCCTGTGCTGCCTGCCACAGCTCTGCCTGCCCCACGTTAATACTCAGGACGGAAGAGCAGCCAAGGAGAGCAGCAGCCAGGGCTTGGCATCCTCCATCCCCTCCACATGCTTTGCTGTTTTCTGGAAGGAAACCATCTCATCCCTACAAATTAAACATTAACACACTGTAACTCTCTGACTTTGCCCAGAAGAAAAAGCAGCTGGGATCTGCAAAGGCAGCGATGAGGATTCGCTGAATCGGCAATCGGCCGCCGGCTTCCAGCTGGGAAGGTGAAACACGGCCTGCTCTCCCCACCTCATCTCCCACAAGTTTGTGCTCTTACATTTACCCATTTCTTTCCCTTCCCCTCCCTCAGTTGAACCCCACTCTCCAACAGTTACATTTTTCTAGCACCAATTTAGGAGCATTAGTAACAAAGGAAAAAAAAAAACAAATCAGGATCCAGTATTATTTGTCTAATCCCATAATACCAACACTGATCTTGGCCCCATTATTATCATCAAGAAATTATGATATTAGAATAAATCTACTTAACAACTACAAAACGGATTTAATTTACCCCACCTAATGAGACTGGAGTCAGAGAACAATTCACTGAGGCAAATCTGACAGGGTTTGGCCCTACAAAGGTACTCCCAAAGTTCCACCTACAAATGTTTTCCCATCAGGACTGCATGGCAATGAAAGCAATTACATTTCCTCTACATTAAAAACGGGATATAGCAATAATTACCTGATTGAAATTTTTGAAGTTGAACTCTTTGTAGATGGCATCTCTTTCGCCTGACTCAGACCAGCCTGAAGCTTTGAGATCCAGCAGAACTTGGTTCCTCTCCTCTGCTGTCAGCCAGTGGGACTGGGAAGACTGTTGAGGCAAAAGCAGAGCGTGTCAACCCCAGCAAGGCCCAGCTGCTTGTGCACAACAAGAGAACCACGCCATGAAACCATGGGTGCATATTCACAGAACCACAGAATGGTCTGGGTTGGAAGGAATCTCAAGGATCACAAATCTCCAACCCCCTGCTACATGCAGGGACACCAACCTCCACATTTCACAGCAGCCCAGGCTGCCCAGGGCCCCATCCAACCTGGCCTTGAACACCTCCAGGGATGGACGGGGCATCACAGCCTCTCTGGGCAGCTGTTCCTCACCTCACCACTCTCTCTGTAAGGCACATATTGCAGAGAGGAAAATGCTTCAGACACAAGAGGTGGAAAATTCACTGTACGGTGCATTCCTTTTTATAATTCCTATAACCAGCTTGACTCTTGTCAAGGAGTGCTGCTTCTGTCGGGGCAGTTAAGCTGGGACAGATGCCTCTGTGCAGAGATGGGCTGGTCCATGGGATGGGCACAGACAGAAGCACACCTGCACTCACACCTCCCCCTGAGCTATCCAGATCTGTAACACTTGAATGAATTTCCAGCTATTCTGCTCTGCTGTGTAGGTAACAGATTATTCACAGAACACTCAAAGTCCAATTACAGGCTGAAGGGCAGAGGGGGAGAATAGCTGCATTGTGAAAGGCATACACAAGGGAAGCAAATAGCATTGTACACAGCGTGCATCCTGTTACTCCTAGGAAAGATCCAGGAGAGACAAAATCACCTGCGGGTTGCTTGGGAAAGACATAACCAAGCAGGTGATGATTTTGACCCTGTATCTGAACAGACTGACCTGAAACTCACATCATGAACTCAATGCTTAGATGGAAAGCCCTGTTCCTTTCAGGCTGCTTCAGTCCTTACAGACTCGTCCAACTTGCTGAGAAGCGCTGGGCAGCACGGCAGCCCCCGTCCGCCCGCCCGCAGCCCCCGTCCGCCCCGCCGCTGCCGCCAGGTGGCGCTGTCCGCCCGAGCAGCGCAGAGCGGAGCGCGCTCCCCTCCTCCCCCCCTTCCTTCCTTCCTTCTCTCCCCCCGGAGCGAACAACGCGACTTCCGCAGCGCTGCGGGAGCGCCGATGGAGCCGCCCATTTCTCTCCAGAAACATGCAGATATCGCCACTGTTAAAAGCGATTGCCAGAGAGCTGTTGTAGAAGCACGGAACCCATCGGGCTGCACGGCTGACGCCGCAGAACAACGCGGGTCAATCAATAGCAGGCAGAAGAGCTAAACGCGAGGAGCAGCAGAACAAACCAGCGCGCCGCAGCTAACGTTCATGGGGCGGGGGCGTCAACATCACGCAACGCGATTCCTCCGTTACCAATGAGATCCCGCACACGCGAGGCGGCCGCGCCCCCCGCCCCATCCCCAGCCCCATCCCCCGCCTCCTGTCCCGCAGCGCAGCGCAGCCCCGCTCCCTTCCCCGCTCACCATGGCAGCCCGGCTCCCGCCGCCCGCTCCGCGCCGCCCCGCTCCCAGCAGCGCCCGGCGCAGCGCGGCCCCGCCGCCCGGCATGGCCCCGATCCGGCCCCGCCTCGGGAGGAGAGGGGGAGGGACCGGGGGCGGCCGTGCGGGCACAGAGGGAGCCCTGGGAGGGGGGAGATTGCGGGTCAGGCTTTCGGTTTGGGTAGGACCGGGTGAGAGCACGCCGTGTGGGTGCCCAGCTCTGCAACGCTCACCGTAAACGAGTTCTGTTCCTACAGAACGCTCTGTGCTCCACTCGGTGCGCTGTGCCTGGCCGTGTCTCCGGGCCCGGCTCCCTCCTCCTGACCCCAGTCCTCAGATAGATCGGCAGCCATCAGATGAAGACATCTCTGTTGATAGGCAAGGAGGTGATGAGCACGGAGAGCGCAGCCGTCTGCCTCTCTTAACGACGAGAAGAGCTCTCCACCTTGCTGCTCCAGACCTTATTAACTACGTACTTCCTCCCTCGACCTTCAGTAGCAGCAGTTTCATCCTTGCAGCCTTAACACAGGAACACAGGACCTGCCCTTCCCCAGCAGGAGAGGTATGAGCACCAAAAGGTACCCCGGAGATCACCTCTCAGGGATATGTGCTCCTTGCAAAGCACTCAAATGATCTGTGCTGCATCTCCAGCAAGCCAAGGCTCATAGAACATGGAGCAAGACAACCCGTATCTGACCTCAGCAGCAAAGGTGGAAAACAGTCACCCTGTAGGGAGCTGCACAACAAATACCTGCATTTTTATAATTGCTGGCATGACTCTCCCCTGAAGTATAAACCAACACAGGCAGTTAATGGGAAAACCTTTTCAGATATTAGGATAACTCAAATGAAGTGAACTGGATTTTAAAACATATCTCTCTTCTTCATAGTTCATTTCACTGACAATGTGGTTTAGTGACACCACCATTCACCTGCACATCCCTGGAAGACTTCTTCATTTCCGGAATCCACGAACCAAAACTACATTCTAATTCCAATGTGTTGACCACAATCTGTGCAGAAGCACCACCTCATACATTTCTAGGTTTGTAAAAGAAGATTCCCAGATTTCAGCTGTACAGAAGCAACCCTGCACTCCAGCCAAGCACTGCCACATATGCAGGCCAATGTGCTGCAGCAGATCTACAGAGCTCAGAGATCTCTTCATAAAAGCGAAGCAGAATGGTATCACACGTTTACATTAAGGTCCACGAAAAGCAAACAGGTCAGAGCACTTTAATAAATACTTATTTAGTTCATGTTTCTCCACAGTAGTTTACTCACCACTTTTTTTTGCCTCAGTTCGCTTTATAAAAACTCAGTAAAAACAAAGCTGGTTTTCCATCAACACTATAAATGACAACCAACAAATTCAACGGTTCATTCTTAAGTACTTCCACTCCACACGAAACCCGCTTCACACACTGCAAACTGTGTCTCTGCTTCAGCACCTCCAATCACTCCTGGTGTTCATGCTCTTGCCCTGGGATCAGCCACCGAATGCTCTCAGTCCGAACGGTAGCATACATGATAAAGCTGGCCAGGAAGAGCACGGAAAACACGAGCAGCCAGTCTACTCCTTTTGTCAGAACGCTGGGCAGAGGCCCCTTCCAGTCTTCCTCTGTCACAGTCACATCATTTTTAGCCTCTATGCCTGGAAAAGAACATCCTTCATCAACACCAGTAGCAGCTGTTAAATACAGACAAGCTCTTTGTCTTTGCAGCTCTGCTCCTGTCTCAAATTAAGGCACACATACAGTCAGGCCTAAGCGTTTGTTGAGCTGGTCCTTAGATTTTAATACGTCCAGTATACAGTTTGCTTATGGAAAACTGAACAGCTACCAAGGTGTATGCACAGCTTATGAACAGGAAAGGCATTGTTCTGTCATTCCACGCAATTTTCTGTAAGCTTGTGGGGTTGTGTTTCAAGCATCTCTGCTGCATTTGGAAATACAACCATTTCTGGCCTCTGATGAAGGCTCTCCTATACCCATGCACGGTTTTTTTTGTTTTGCTCTCAGCCTTGCTCTCAGCCTTGCTCTCAGCCTTGCATGGCACTGGCAACTTTCTCAAGGTTCCCCCACTCCCAAATGGAAGATTTGGGCATGAAGGTGTGCCCAATCCTTCTACCTTACGCCCCACCATTTCCTTCTACTCTGCAAAAGCAGCCCAGTCAGTTTCTGGTTTCAGTACCCCTCCAAATTCAGTTCCTACAGCAAATCTCTGCTGGATTCTCTCAGGCTTTTAATCTGATTCACATTAAATAAAAGTATAAGAGGAATAAATAACAATAATAAGAGGAAAGCTGAGTACGGAGCTAAAAGCCAACTTGTTCTTCCCACTGATACTTCAGTGCTGCTTTACATACCTGTTTGATTAAAAATGAAGTCTTTCAGTGTTTCCAGCGTTCTGTCTGTATGATTAAATCTAGCCATAGGTTTAGCACCTTGGAAAAGGAGGATATTGGGGACAGCTACAGTTCCAAACCGAGTTGATAAGCTGGAGAACATAAAGCACATACAAGCCATGAAGGGAAAGAAATCCACTGAAGAAAGGAACAAAGGCAGCCACAACACAGCAAGTGTCAGCTGCACTAAATGAGTCACTTTATAAGAAAATAATAAGCAGCCACTTCTTGTGGCATTAGGGATGCTTACTGCTTGATCAATTATATTAATTATATGACATTCAGCAGTGTTTCTTCTCCATGCACACAAGTGCTGTATGGATCCAGGTTTTGTTATCCAAGGATATGCATAAGGTGAATGAATATTTAGCACTCCTCAGAATTGTGATACCCAAAAGCCAGCTAACAGAACACAATTTCCAGGTAAGCTACCAACAGAGCAGCATTTCCTTCCTGTAAAGTTGTCAAGAGGAAGAAAATGCGGAAACATTATAGTCACAAAGAAAACAGACACAACTGCTTACAGTAAACTGTTAAAAAAACACTGCTGTTTTTAAAACACAGACCTTGCTATTGTAAATAAACTGAGACCAGAGCACTGGAAGTGTGGATTACCTGCTGTGTTGTGATGCATCCAGTGCCAGGAAGCGCAGAATGGGAAACGCTCGAGGTAAGGAATTGAAATGAGGTGCCAGGCTTACGGAGAAGCGGCACCATGGCGTATAGAACAGGACCAGCGTACAGTCACTGCTGTTAGGGTTTAAGAACTCCATCAGATCCTTAGAGAGAGCATAACACACACAGGCAAACATTTAACTAAGTTGTCCTACGTAGGAATGCATCATTCAGCAATCATAGAATCGTCTCACAGAATGGCCTGCGTTGAAAAGGACCGTAATGATCATCTAGTTTTAACCCTCCTGCCATGGGCAGGGATGCCAACCACCACACCAGGCTATCAATTAGACAGTTGATGATGAGAAACATCATTGTTTAACCCTTTTGAAAGAAATGGCAGCTTGTTTAACCTTTTTAAAGGTTACTTTAAAACAATTACTAAAAAGGAGAAAAATACAACACAGCCCCCCTCCGGAAAAAACACCATCTCTATTACAAGAGCCACACTAGATACAGTAACTGGTATTGGCTGTAAGTGCCACAAACAACCCTAGAGATATGGATCTATACAGCATTAAGGCTGACAATTCACCACAAGCGCACACACGAGACACACATACTTGTGGACTGAGCTGTTGTTCCATTTGTTTCAGCTCATAACGATGCAGCCCTTGCTCAAGCTTTCCCCATTACACAAAGAATCCAGCCAGGTCAAGCACTAAAAGACACAAACCAACGCTTCCCACCCCCGATACACACAGAGCTGCACGATGCTGCAGGCCGCTCACCTGGGACACGTTCAGGATCTGCACCGTGAAGTTGCTGATACCGGTAACATTTCTCTCCTCGCAGCTCACCTTGGGGGCCTTCACGCTCTCGGCAGTGCCGTTGGGCTCCTCGCCCGCGGGCAGCACAGTTTCCAGCACGACGGCCGCTCCGGGCGCGGCGGGAGGAGCCCCGGGCCCGCTCCCAGCGCCGCACTCCCCTCCGCCGGCCGCCGCCTCGCAAACCTCCGCTTCCCTCCCTTCTCTCGCCTCTCCCGGCACCGCCGAGAGCATCACGGGCGGCCGGCCCGGCGGTCCGCTGCCCAGCATCGCGTCAGCCATCTCCGCCGTCCGGTACCGCACCGCTTCGCCGCTGATCGGTCCGGAACCGCCGGCGCCCGGCTCCGTCACCACCCCTGCACCAGGAAGGAGAGATCAGCCCCGGTCCCGGCGAAAGCTCCGCACCCACCTCCCGGTTCGGCCTGGCCCCAACCCGGCCCCGGCCCCAGCCTCACCCTCATCCTCCGGCAGGGCCCGGCCGAGCCCGGCCAGCAGCAGCAGCACCACTAGCCGCCACATTCCCACCACAGCGCTGCGTCTCCCCGGACGACGGCCACTTCCGCCGGAACTGGCCAGGCGCTTCCGCTTCCGGTGTCATGCGTGCATACGTTGGGAGCGGAGCGCGGCGTGCCGCCATCTTGGCGGGGCGGTTTCGCGTTCTCGGCAGGGGCAGAGGACAGCTCTGGTCTGAGGCCGGGTGAAGGGACGGCAGGCTGCTGGAACTCCGATAGCGCTGCAGGGCACCGAGGAATTACTCCGTGAAAAATTACCGCCGAACCCAGTCACTGCCGAGTATAAATTGTATGAGAATAAATATTGAAGCTGCAGTGACCTGAAGATACAAAACACGAGTTAAGTTTGCGCAGAGAACACAGCGGTCCAGTTGACAGAAGAAATCGAGCACAAAACACACGCAGGGACTCCAAGAGGCCGTGGGGAAACGCCCTCCGTCCCAGTTGCAGCTGGCATTCTTCACCTCAAATCCGTTCTGTTTCCTCCACAGCTGTTCAGCGGCTCACATTTTTCTGACGTTAGATGCCAAATATTTGCTTTTAGGAAAAATGGAAAAGGAAAAAATTAAACAAAAACAATACCAACAGAGACAGAGAATCTCCTGAGTCGAAACAGACCCGTAAGGAATACAGAGTCCAACTCCTGGCCCCACACACTGCTGACCATCTATTCAAGAATCAGTCGTACAATAGAAAAGCTGTTTGTTGGAAAGAGGACTTGTGTGATACGAGTCTTGTGTCGCAGCCACGGATGAACACTGAAACATCAGTCAGCCATTTGTGCACCCTGTATTAAGGCAGCTGAATTTCACAGTCACAGCTTTCAGTCACAGCAAGCAAGCTCCTTCCCTGGCAGTGTAAGGAGTGAAAGACAACAGAATGGAACAGAGACAACGCCAAGGTCTTCACGTTTCCATTCACTCGTAATCCTCACAGCTGATTTTCTGTGTGTTCAACAGCATGAGAAGAAAACACACACAGGCAGCTCTACCTTACACTACATATGGGAGGTGTGACTTTGCCTTCTGTTCTCTCAAGATGGGCAGAGCTGAACATTTACAAAGATGACCACACAAAGCAGCAGAAAAACACTTCTAGTATTATGCGTATCTCTGAGGCCTACTCTAAATAATCAAGCACCAATTGCCACTGTGATATTTTTTCAGTAATTGGAAACAAGGTTTTCTGGTATGAAAAACACAGCGTGAAAGGCAGGATCTTCCTCAGATCATTTAAATACCACCTGACAATTCCACAACACACTGCAGCTTCAAAGCAGTTAAAAGTTGTTTGCTTATGACTCCTTCCAGGAACCCTGCATGATAAGCAGATATTTTTTGCCATGCTTTCACTGATGGGAGGAAGTGAGACATTGCCATCCCTAGGCCATGCGGGGAACCTGGGTGCAAGCCAGCTGCAGAGCACTGTAGTTTTGAGCTGTCAATCCTGTATGTCAGGCCACACCTCTCCCTTACATGATAAGCCATACACAGAGCCACAGGCAGAAGCCTGGTAAGAACAGCACACTGCAAGTCAGCAAGGCAGGCCCTTATCTTTAGGAATTACAGCTTTACGGATTAACTGTTAAGAACAATTTTCATTTCTCTTGGTCCAAAAAGGCACTTTGTTGAGCCATCTTTCTGAATAGGTACGATGTTGCTAATTTACACTATATTGTTTGTGCTATTGGAAGAGATCCCACTGCGACAGGTACTTCACGAGAGCATTAGGATGCCAGTCCAGCTCCAAAGCACACCCCGGTGTCAAATCAGACACACAAACAGCATTATCAGGAAGATAAAACCACTGTAAAGCTTTTTTAAGGTCCAACTTGCACAGCTGGCAAACACACACTGCCTGTCTGTCCATATGAAGAAGCTGTAACCTGTGATAAACGTGAGCAGTAAAGCAACCTTCAAGAATGCTAAAAAGCCTGAACTGTGTAATTTATGAATGTCCTCCAACTCTCACAAATTCTTGATGCGTTTTTCAGCCCACACGAGCACAAACACAGTCTGTTGTAGTTGGACTCACCTGCACTTCAGGCAGACAAAGAGCAAAACCGATCACCTGGTTTTAAGCAACATCTGTACAAGTTGCACCACAGTGTTTTACACTTACCTGCAACAGAGACACTGGGAGAAGAAAATTCCTGTTTACAGCAGAGACAGGTTAAAGTTATTGGTCTGATACGTTGGCAATAGGAATCTTAAGCCAGAATTTAACATATATGAAAACAAAATGCATGTAGGAAATAATTATTAGGTTGTAAAGTATTAACTTTATTAATAAATATACATCCATATGATGATGTAAATACAGATCATGAACACTACTCCATTCCCATACACATAATTGCACACGAGTAGCTCAAGTTCATGGACATAAAAACATACACAGTATCTAATCAGGCTTTTTACAGCAGAGGACAGGGTGCTGATACTAGATATTTAACAGATTACTGTTTCCCCAAAGTAAACCTGTGGAAAAGCAAACGATGAAAGGTTAAAGTATCAGAAAGTGGTTCCAAACTTCAGAATACAGATTTATCTATCTGAAAAAAAAAAAACTTAAAGAGAAAAGTCTAGTCTCTACTAAAGTCATAAATATATTTAAGCAGTGTTAAAATATATGCATTAAAATAGAGAAGAATAAACTTCTTTTGTGGTCAGAAATTAGGTCTGCAGGTCAAAGTATTTATGATTGTTATCAACTGTTTTAACTGTCAACTCTAGGGATAGCATGAAATGTTATTATACATACAACAAAGAATAGCAGAGTCTCGGTTAACGAAGCCAGCAGACAAATGACTTCATTTCACTCTGCCTTTTAAAGCTCTTCAAAAAGGGGGAAGGGAGTTCAATTCACATCTGAATTACTCTGTGTACTGTAGTTCCAAGTAATTCTTTTCATAGACACATCACTTTTCACTGACAAGGCTTGGTTTTGTCCCGACCAAACTCTCAGATCTTTCAGCTGAAGTGAAAATATATTCCTTCAAAACAGAGATCTTAAATGGCTCTTGATACGTAGTTATTTTGATTGAACTAAATCCAAGATATAAAGAGTGCTGCTTTAACAACAAGGCTAACAGCTGATTTTAAAAATACTGAACTCAATTTCACTGTTAGCCTCTGCTGATGGATGGTATCTGCTTTGTTTTTTTCCTGCCAAAATATGGTGTTATCATCTTGAAATGTCCAGTGCAAGACTTTATAGTAGCAAAACTATTTGGTTTTAAAGTTTAAGTAAATTTAATCAGAAGCTGAATAGTCGTTACTCTATGTATATTAAACAGTGAACTTGTATAGCATCATCAAGGAGTAATAGCAAGTGAGTACATTTCATTCATGTATAAATAAGACGTTAGAAACTTGGTAATTAAAAGAAATCATTAGAAAGCAAACTTGTAGATCTTCTGAACAGTGTTAACACACAACAGTGATCCTAGCTTATGAATAGCTGAATTATGATATAGAATATAAAATAAGCAATTTACCTTACAAGTTATGTTTTCATACTACGGGGGGGAAAGTCCAGTTTTCCCACTGGTACTGGTAAAGTTTGGGCATTAACATGCTGCTTCAGTGTTTGCGTGGAAAGAAAAGTGTTGTCTGGGGTTTTATTAAAGCACAATGTATTCTGCAGACTACACGTAGGCAAAGCAGAAGTATTTGAAAATTCCATTCCTCTTTCACTTCCAATGTCTTCCTTCCTTTTTCTTCCTCTCACAGCATGGCACCAGTAGACTGCAGTCAGATCGAAATAAAGCAGAATGAAGAAATGCCCAGCAGGACTCTGCTGGTCTCCTTGCCACATCCCAGGTGCCACGCAGCCCTGTACAGACTCTGCAAACACTTTCCTACTTTATGCTCCTCGTTTCACAATTGACAACATTAACTGTTGTTTGTTTGTTTTTTTTTTCCTTCTGGGATTACATTTCATTTGATATAATTAATAAACAGTGTAATGAACAGAAATTGCTTAGATGATTTCATTATTTCATCAGCATACTCAATTAAAAATTCATTATACTAGCAGAACAGTGATACAGCTGCATCATCTCCTGACACACAGCACAGCACCATCGAGTAGATGCACGAGTGAGAAATGGAACAGGAGCAAACCAGATAAACAGAGGAGGTAAGTGGAGTTTCTCCAAGGTACAGTGGTGACATGCAACACGTTCCTTGCCAGCGAGGTGTGACGCTCCTGCAGGTACTACATTCAGCTGAAGAGGACTGCTTTCCCAGCTGAGTTCAGGTAAGAACTTAAAGCAGTCTTTTGTTGAAAAACCATCTGATTAAAAACAGCCAATACAACACAGATCCTGAGGGTGAATTAACTCACGTTAGCATTTTGCATGTGTCAGAAGTTACATCGTTCTGAGAAACCGCTAAATTTCAGACTTGTGAGTTTGCTGAGGAACAGAAAGTATCACTGGATTTCATAGCTTCAGCATGAAGAAACTATTTTAGTAGCAGTTTAGCTGCCGTTAATTCATACATCGACTAAGGAGCCATCCAGTACAGTTGAGGTTCATTGTCTTAGTTGCCAGTGCATACACAGTTCCCCAAAAACAATTCAACACACCTATGTAAAGTACAGCATAAAGTCCAGCTCATTATGTGTTAGGCATCACTGGAACACCTGAAGGCTTGCTGCTTTTTTCCTGATAAAAAAGGTATGAAACATGACATCTGTTTCTTAAGTTGTCATCACTGAAATCAAGAGCTCTCATCAAAATGTCAGCAGGCCAGAATAGCATTTATGTTAACAAAAGTTATCAGTCCAGCATAAGCACTAATTAACCCGATTTCTTTTACTCCCCAGATCGCCAAGCTTTATATATCCACCCCCTCCCCGGATGCACGAGCCTACAAATTTATCATCAAGTCACATTTTGCTTCAAACTGCTTAAATAGAAACTTTCTTCCAGGTGGAAAAAAAAGCTCGGATTCCAGTAAAAGTAAATTTAGAACAAACAATATGCAACATTGAGGATTGATTTTTTTTCTTTTTTTGAAGACTAGATTAAAGTATGTGCACATTACACACATACATGCGCTCCCCCACACTTAAA